GATTGATTAGTAATGCGCGTGGGTTTAAATATGGTGGGTATTATATTAAATTCAAATAGTAAATTGAAAAAGTTTTTTAGCGTCCATATTTGTATCTCCGACAAAAAAAACGTGCTTGTTTTGTTTACTCATTTGAGACATTAAAGTTTTTAAGATATTAAGGAATTTAACATGTTTACCACATGGCGGTCAATACAATGAGGTGATTAAAAAAAATTTACCAGAAGTATTTAACACTGCACAAAGTTTCAATATGTTTATCTGTTTTTGAAAAAGTGCTGTTTTTTTGAAATTCAAATTTATCAAAAATATACACTGCAACGCCACCTCCCTTGCTGTTTACACGTGGTTGACTGATCATTTTATATGAAACTTAATTGTATTGGGAATTTTCTGACATGGGCAAGTTTGCATCTTCCCAAGTTTCTGATATACATATTACGTCAAAAAGAAAAATTTAAAGAATAGTAAAAATGTTTTAATGATTCAAATTTTTTGGTCATTGACCGGATATTTATACTTAAAATGTTTAAATATAGAAATGTTATGTATTGAGAGGTTATTAATGTTTCAGTATATTTAGTATTTGATTTAAGTCCCTGACTTAAATCAAATACTAAACGGTTCTGCAATTTTTTCTTTCTTAATATATTGCTTGAAGCTATTTTGAATAATATAATTTTCTTTGGTATGCGTTAGTTTCGAAATGTTGTTCATTGATAAAATATGCTTTACACGTAACGGTTTAATAATTATATTATTATCCAGAACAGATGGGTTAAATTTTTTTTTTTCTTCTGAATTATACAGTATTGATAAACGGCGCAAATATTCTCGCCTACAATTTTCTTCCGCAGCAGACGTCGGCTGCTTCCAACTCATTTTTAGCAGTAAAATGTCTTCTATTCAGCTTGTAGTGGCTTTCGCCTTTCTACTGGCAATCAGATTTTTTTTTGGGGGACGAAATGTTTAGGAGACCAACGCCAATCGAGAGGCGAAAGCCAATGGTGGCTGCCTTCAGAAGAAATTTTGAAGGCAAAATCATTTTGGCCGCCACCAATAGCTTCTACCTGCCAGCTAGCTGTGGCCGCCAAATTGGAGGCGGAAATATTTCCCTCCTTTCGGCGGATGTAATGAAAAATAATTGTACGTTTATCTTTAAGTTAACAAGCAATTAAATAATTAAATTTAATTAAGCAATTAAATAATAATTAAATAATAACTGAGAAAAATGTTAAAAATTTGACATCAAAGTTTTGTTTTATATGATTTATTTACTATTTAAAACATTAAAAAAAAAAAAATATCATTTTGTTAGAGCGGTTGCTTTTCTAGGACTATCGAATAAATTTTTAACTTTTAAACGTTATAAACTTTTAATCGCTTAAAACATTCAAACGTGTAAACTTTAGATATTATTATGTATACTCTTTATTTTAAAACGTTTTAAAAGTATAGAGTAAAATATAAATAATATTTATAAAAGTATATACATATACATATATATTTAAAGTTTATAAATTTTATTTTTTATGTTGTAATTTGGCAAGACTATTATCGTAATATAGCGTGGTCGCAAAATTTTAATAAACAGGGGTCAATGTTATAAAACTTTTCATCGGCGTAAAATGCTACCGGCGGAATTTTTACAGCCGTAAATTTAGAGACGTAAAATGTTTTTTCATTCAATGTTATAAAACTTTTACCAGCGTAAAATTTAGAAGATATCTATGCTCAGAATTTATTTTCGGAAATCTACTGTTCGAATCAATAACTTAAGAGATTGTCAAAAACAAAATGTTTTTGAGTTGAAAACATCAAAGTTTACAAAAATTAACAGTTTCTTATGGAATTGGACTTAGACTGTTCTGAATCTGATGAAGAATATTTTGTTGCTTTAGAATATTTGGCAAATCAGAAACAACTACGAAAAGTAAAACTGTTCAAACAGTATTTAAACTGTTAATAATACAATTTAAAAGTAAAAAAATAGAATTGTCATTAATTTTTTACCCTACCCTATAACAAAATTTGTATAGCTTTTCTATAAAAATAATTTATACTATTTTCTATATAGAGGTTTCTTTAGACCAGAGTTGTTAGTTCTTGGCCTTGACCCTGCCTTAAGACCAAAAACTAAGGCCTCAGCCTTGAAGTGTTTAGCCTTGACCTTGATTGTTTTGGCCTTAGTCTTTATAATAAAATACATAAAATTAAAGAATTAAAGGTTTTTTCTTTTTTTTTTTTTTTATGTAATTAATTAGGTAATTAATCCTTCTTTATTTTGTAAAATTGTGTTTATATAAATATAGAAAATTTACACATATTTTATATTATACAATCTATACACATAAAAACACATATTATACAATCTATACACATAGAAAATCTACACACACAGAAAAAATAAGAAAAATTGCATAAAAAAACTTTAAAAAAAAATGACTTTAGATATTAAATAATTAAAAGAATTATTCACTAACTCAAATTCTTATAACAAAAATTTATTTAGACACAAACAAACATTTAAACATAAAACACTTTTGATTAGAATTTTATCCACAATAAGTTTTGACGTGCTTCCATACCATAGACAATATGAGAAACTTTGGAAACAAGTTGTACATAATGTCTAAACACTTTCTGAATAAGAAGAAAAATCTTTAATGTATTTTGTTATCTGAATTTATCAAAAGTATTTGAGCTCATACCATATTCGAGCATCAAAGGCTATTTCTAGAACTTTAATAATTCTGTTTATAGTTTGACCACTTATTTTATTATTTCGAATTTCAAATAACCTCTGCATAAATTTTAAATGGAGAAATTTCTTTTGCCGGTCCATTTTGAGTATGTCTAATACTAAAGTTGATCTGATTTTTGGATCAATAAAAAGCCCTAATAAATCTAGCATAAGTGCATTTTTTTAATTAGCTTAATAACAAACTTTAGAAAAACTTTAAATTCCTTTTCAAACACTTTAAATTCCTGATGGTTTTCTTTCAGGTTTCAATGTCTAAAAGAAAATTTGTAAAGTTAATCTAAAAAGTTAAATTTGTTTATTAACTTTCATTCATGAAGTTGGTTCATGAGGAAGGTTTATCATAAGGTTCAATAGTTGATCAGGCTTCCTGATGGAAACCTACTGATGGAAAAACAAGCTCTCGAAAATAAAAATTAGATAAATGTTTTTACTAATTTATTATTGCTCTGTTTTTTAAGAACGTTGAGCACTCTCTCTATATATATATTTCTCTCTCTCTCTTTCTCTCTCTCTCTCTCTCTCTCTCTCTCTCTCTCTCTCTCTCTCTCTCTCTATATATATATATATATATATATATATATATATATATATATATATATATATATATATATATATATATATATATATATATATATATATATATATATATATATATATATATATATATATATATATATATATATATATATATATATATATATATATATATATATATATATATAAATGAATAAAATTGCTATTGCCTTATTATTTTTCATTAAATTTCAAATTTTCAGTGATCAAAATAAATCAAATCAAATATATTCTGAACAAAGTTGACACATCAAATCTATTTACAAATAGTAATAAGTAGTAATATGAAATAAATACTTGAAAAATTCAAAACTAATAAAATGATGCTAATATTAAGAGCATCATTTTATTAGTAGTAGAAGTTAATAAAAATAATAGTTGTAATAACAGCGATTAAAAGTAATAGTAAAGATTATAAAAAGTATACACTATACTATTTTAATAATAATAATAACAAAAATGACAGTAAAAATAACAACAACAATAATAATAACAATAATAGCAACAACAGTAATATAACAAAAACAGTAATATAAAAAAAATTATGACAATATAACAACAGTAAGAATCATAATATTTATAATAATAAAAGTATAGTAATAATAACATAAACAATTATAGTGATGAAGAGAAAATACTTCAGTTTAAGAAAGATTGAAATAATAGATAACTAATTATTTATACTTTATAACTATAACTATTTTTTAGAAAAAAATTGCTTATTAATCTTATACTTTTATTCAACTTGTTATTTATAACCCTCTGAGCTTCTATTTATCAAATTTTATTTCTCTTTTCTGTTGTGTTTTAATATTTTTTGTTAAATTTAATAAGTTTAACAAAAAATATTAAATCACAACAGAAAAGAAAAAAATTAGATAAATAGAAGCTCAAAATTAAGATTATGAATAATAAGTTGAATGAAAGTAAAAAATTTATAAGCAATGTTTTCTAAAAAGTAGTTAAAGAGAGCAGTTTTAAATTTTGAAAATGACTTACATTTCTTACATGACAAATTCAGTAAAAAAATATTAACAAAATAATCGCTCGAAATTAAAATTCAAGAAATGTGCACTTAATTAAAATGAATGAATTTGTATTAAGTTTTGAACTCAAGGTAATTACTTTGAAAATTTCTAAACTACAGGTTTCTATAACTAAATATTCATATCTCTGGATCTTCAACAAAAATTTCCGTAGGTCGCTCCTCCGGAACATTTATAGACTGTAAACGTTTACATTTATAGACTGTAAACGTTTATAGACTACAAACGTTTACAAACGGAACATTTATAGACTGTTAACGTTCGGCTGTAGAAATTTATCGACTGTAATTTTGAAAAACTTTTTATAACGTTGAAACAAATCATAGCGCTCTATACTGAAGGCCTATTCATAGCGCAACCGTAAGCCCCGACTGGGGGCCTATTATTTTTACGGATTATCAGCAATTCAGCTATAAAATTATATTTTGGAGTCAAAATAAGACTTTTAATGAGTTTAATTAGTTTATTTAGAAATATTTATATTAAAATGTAATAAAAAGTTAAAATTGAAAAAAAATTAAAACAAAGAAAATATTTGCATATATTTTAACAACAACATATACAAATCATTATTTTCTAAACAAATTTATGATAATTTTAAAACTTTTAATGCAGGTTCTTTATTAGATCTTGATGTGGTTTGTGCACAAAAATTATTTAAAAATATTTTGGCAAGTGTGTTGCAATGTTTTTGATTAATTTCAAAATAGTAAAATTCAGAAACTAGCAGAAAAATGCCACTTAAGGATTTACGACAAACTTTATCTTTTATTGAATGGAATAAGACAAAGCAAAAAAAAACCCATTGGCAAACATTGTCTGGTGGAATTTTAAGACCACCACGATCTATAGACTTGAGGTAATCACCAAACTTTTCATAATAAAATAATGTTTAGTTGAACAAATTGTTTTCATTATATTTATTTCTACATACGTAACCAGCAATATAAATCAAAGACATTTTGGTAGTATCTGAAATTGATAACTCTAGTTTTTCTAAATTGTTTAATATATTTCACAACCTGCTTCACATAAAACATATGTACAAGAACCACACTCATGACCTGAGCTAAAATCAAAAGAATTTATGTCAATATTTAAAGATAATAACAGTGATGTGTGATTTATATGCAATTTCTCTATAATTTGTTGAACATTTATAAAGTAGACACTCCCGGAGCCTTGTCTAAATTTCCCAAATTCTTTTTCTAAGTGGTCACTTGTAAACATACCAAGAAGATATAAGATATCACCAAACTGAAGTAAAGTATTAAGACGGCAATCATCAAGACTACAAATAGGTGCTTCTAGTGGATCATTGTGTCTTACATCAGCTCCACGACCTTTCACATTCAAAATTTTCCACCGGGTTATTATTTTATTTAAAAATATTGCAGTATCCTTAGAATTTGAAATTATTTGAGAGTTGGTCAGCATGGCATGATATGTCTTATCTGAAAAAACTTTAAGGCAATTAGATACATTTTGCCTTTCAAATGGCTTGGGAGCTATTGCAATTTCATTTAAGTCTGACAATTTGACTAACTTTTCTGATTCTAATTGATATAAGCATTAAAGGTGCTCTCATTTAGCTGTTCTTTGAATACCATTATCATTGTACACTAGTTCCCCAGTTTTGTCTGTAAGCCATAGATTTCTAATGTTTTTCAAAAGATGAACAAAGTCAAACAGTAAATACATCCCATCTTCCGTTTTCCAAGATTTTTCTGGAATAGTACGATATAATTTAAAAAATGCTTGGTTTACACGATTACCATCACAGATAACAATTTTTACATCGCCAGATGATGATTTTATAAGTATTATGCTGGAGTTTATTTGTTCAAACAGAAAATTTGAACTTAATTTTGAAATTGGAATCATCTTATACAGAAATTTTGGACCACATTTGAGACATACTATCATAATTCCTAACACACTTTAGCCAATAATGATGGGTCATCTGAAGATTTACCAAACAATGTTCCACCATGGTAAAGCATCATTTTTTTGACATATACTTCATCATGAATAATTATACAAATTTTTTGTTTTTCTTCAATGTTTTTGAAAACTGAGACTTAGAAACTAGCATCATCAATTTTGTTAACTTTTGATGTTATTTGTGTCAAAGTACTAACTAATGGCAATTGAAAATCGTTTCTTAATTTATTGTATAAAGAACGAAATGTTGAAAAATATTCAAAATTACGTATAATAGTATCTGATTCATATATTTTTTTTGCTGTATCAGCCAATAAAAAAGTGCTAAGTTCATTAGTTCTGACATTTCTTACAACGCTCAAAGATTTCTGCGTTGTGGCAATGGAGTGGGTATTTGACTTGAAGGTATTCCAGGCCAAACAGATGGTGGCACTCTTAGTCTTTGTTTTCCTTGAACAGTAACTTTTTCAAAAATTGTTGGCCAATAGGCAAATAATAGGCAAATAACAGTTTCATCTGACACTAAAAGATTAGAATTCGGAATACTTTTTATCCAAATATTTCTTTGTTCTTTATCTTAAGGAAAACGATAAACTAGTATTTTTTCAAAGCTTTTATTATTTTTGGTACTTTGATAATTAGTTTTGCAGCCATATACATAACACTTTTTTGGCATCTATAAAGTATAACTATTTAAAAGAATATAAAAATATGCAAACCATAACATAAAATTTTCAAACACTTTTTTGTCAAATATAAAAATCAAATATAATAGATCACTACCCATATCAATCATAATGAATGTATATATATATATATATATATATATATATATATATATATATATATATATATATATATATATATATATATATATATATATATATATATATATATATATAACTCTCAACATTGTACGTTATATATATATATATATATATATATATATATATATATATATATATAACTCTCAACATTGTACGTTATATATATATATATATATATATATATATATATATATATATATATATATATATATATATATATATATAACGTACAATGTTGAGAGTTATATATATATATATATATATATATAAATATATATATATATATATATATATATATATATATATATATATATATATATATATATATATATATATATATATATATATATATATATATATATATATATATATATATATATATATATATATATATATATATATGTATATATATATAACTCTCAACATTGTACGTTATATAGAATGTTAGGAGTTATATATAACAATGTTACAAAAAAAAATCAAAAAAGCGAGATATTAAATTCAAAGACATCATTAGAAGCACCTTTTAGTAACTAAAAAAAAAAACCTCACTTTAAGTTTTTCGATGTCATTTAAGGAAGTTATGAGTTTTTTAAACATAAAATTTTTATAGGGATTTTTGCAAAAAGTTGTGACCGTTAATTTGCAATTAACAACTTAAATTAATCATAACTGCAATTAAAATCATCCAATTTGATTAAATTTTGTGTCAATTAAAAGCTAAGAAAAGCGGCAAACATTCCTTGAGTAACAGTGGTTGAAAAATATATTCATGTTGGGTGGCGGTGATGGGGGCACATAGTGGGTACAGAGAGGGTGTTTAAGTATTCACACAACAAACTTAATTTTTATAAATTAGTTATCAATAAGGTTATCAAATCTAAAGAAAGCATCAACTGCCTTTTGCAAAGCATCAATTGCCACTGGGCAAAGATAAATGGGCGTACTTGAGGGTTAATATAAAGTGTGTGGGGATGGGAAGGCGAGTTGGGGAGGGGTTTTCAAAATAATGTTTTTATATAAAACAAAGTAACAAATACTAAAAATTATAAACGGGTATCTAATAAAAGAAAAAAATAAATTTATCTAAAAATGCCTTTATTATATAATAAAGCATTTCTTGATGCTTTTTGATGCTTTATATATATTACAAAAATAGTTATAAAATAATCTCGAAGAAGTTTAAAAATATAAAAAAAAAAAAAAAAATTAAAAACCAAAGTATTTAAACATATGCAAATAGCATATAATATGCCCAAATATAAATATAAAATATAAGTCACTATGAAAACAGCAATTAAAAAAAAAATCATCAATTCACTTTCAAAATAACATAAGGTCTCCGTATATTATATAGGCAGCAAGTTCAAATTTTGAAATGTCATAATCCACAGCATCATTATCATACGTTTCATTATCTTTCCAGTATGCTACAACATACACTTGCTTACCAATCTTTAACTTCATTTTTTCAAGTTTACCATAATAAACTCTAGTTCTGGAAATACTATTATAATATCTGAAAAATTAAGGTTTTGAATTTAATGAGCCAATATTTTTCGGTTTTTATCCTTTACAAATCAGTTCAAGCTTTATTTCATCAATATTTTTTTTATTCATCCCTCTCTTTGTTCTGGCTTTGTTTACTGCCCAGTAAACAATTTTCTCTTTATCATCTTCATCTTTTTTTTCAATATAATTAACTATATTATTTTTTATTGCTCTTAACTTTGATGACAAAAAACACAAAGTAGAGTTGGGAGCACGATGTTTAGCAGCACTGATCATGCCCATGATTTCCTCTGCATCAATATTATGAAGCCTAGCTGTTTGTGTCTCTTTTATAAGTTGTAATGATAGATTTAAATTTAAGTATCTTTTATACTGTCTTTCTAAAACATCAATAATAGCTGATAAACAAAGTATAATCATTTGTTTAACTTCTTTGTCTTAAAAACCTTATCGTTTTTAATAATATTTCCAAACAAATCTTTTGCATTTAATAACAACATAAGGTTGTTTTTCACATGATAAACATTTTTTAACAATTTTTTCACTACTTTTATTCCTTCTATATGACTTAAACTTCCTGTACCTGACTGATAAAATAATGCCATCCATGGTCCTGTTAAAGTCTTATCCAATAACCCTAAGACACATATTTCTTTTTTGGCTGTTTCGTTAATAAAGTCTATTTTTAAACTACTTTAAAGCCCTCATCATGAAACTACATTGCTGCTTAAAAATTTAATTAAGGAATTATAGTGCTGTATAAATATACCACATATATGAAATAAAATATGCAATCTGTTTCCTCGGTAACGCGGAATGAGTCCTTTGGGTAATTTCATCTCATCTAAAAAGATTGTAAAACCCATAGGATCTCCTTTGCCATTTTTGTATCGCATTTTATTTATTTGTAAAACCATATTTCCAGCCATGCAATCTTTGCCAAACAGCACTCCTTTATTTTTTTCAATTGATTTTAATGCAGATCTACATGCAGTGGCAATTGTCTCTATAGGATGCACATGACAATTTAATTCATTTAAAACTTTACCCCATGAAGAATTTATTAGCTGAATAGCTGCATGATTAGCGGCAACACGGTCATTCATAGAGTTCGAAATATTTTTAATTATATTTGTCCGACTCTCTTAATAGCCACAATTATGGAAATCAGAATACAAAATTGCAAGTTCATCAATTGAAGATACAATATGATTTTGATAATCATGTGCAGTCCCACCTGACAACTGATCTATTGCAATAACATGACACTCTGTTTTGGTTGTAAAATGAACAGAGTTTATATGGATTCCTTCTTGGGTTGTTGCGTCAAACCCAAGAGTAAGATTGGGTGTAGAAATGGCAACTTCAGCAGCATGAAGGTTGCTGATTATACCTAACTCACGAACAATCTCTTCAACTGTGCTGCGTTGTGGAAAACTTTTTGTATTTACTAAACCAAAATGATTAAAAAAATTTTGCAATAAAATTGGAATGTTTTTTGTTGGTACCTGGTTAACAATGGCATCATATACCATCAATCGTAGTTGCCACGTATACGATTTTCTATCTTTTTTGAAAGGCAAATGATCAATGACAGAATCCTTCGCTTATCTAATTTTTCTAGCAAGTTTGCTACTTCAACTTCTAGAGTTTTTATCTGGTTATCGTTACTCAAAATGGTACTACTCAAATCATTTTGTTGTTCTTTTTTCTTAAGCTTGATTATTTTTATTTTCTTTTTAAATTCATTTTCACATAATATTAAATTTTAAGAAGAAATTTTAGCAAGTTTTTGCTTTAAATATTGAATGGTTAAATTTTTTCTTTTAATAGTTTGATTTAGTCTTTTTATAACATAAGGATCTGCTCTAACTCTGAGTTTTTATAACATAAGAATCTGCTCTCTGAGTTTTAGAACAGCTAGTTTTTCTTTATGCTTCGATTTCAATTTTGCATTAGTTTCATACATAAAGCTTAATCTCTTTTTTAACAATTCATTACCCAGAGTATCTTTACAAAGCATTTCTTTAATTGTTTCTTGAAAAATATCAGAAGTAAAAGATTTTCCTATTTCTCTTTCAACAGGAGCTAAATGTAAAGTAACCGATTCACATGAATTACTTTTTGTCATAGTTGATAGTTGATTACATTTAAAGTTTTTTTTGCATAACTCTTCAAATTTTTTTCTATTAGATGACTGGAGATGGGCAAGCAGTCTTTTGGATTTCATAACTAAACTATACACCTGGTTATAAGTGGGATAAAAACCAAACTTTTCATAAATTATTCTGGCAGTCTTTAAAATAGACTTGGATTCTGTATATACAATAGCAAAACATGCCCATTTAAGCATTTATCTTATCATGTTTATCAGTGGCTAATGTAAAATTGTCAATTAAATACTGTTTTGCAAGTCCAGTTATAACAAACGAAACATGAATTTTTTTCTTTGAACTCATATTAACAGCAACCCTAAAATGAGTATTATTTACAAACCACAAATTATATTTATTTTGATATACCAATCTGATTGGAATAGCAAAATATAAGACAATTTTATCGTCACGTGTCATCGGAATAAGCATTACATTTTTTCAAAAAAAAAAAGATTCTAAAACCAAAACTGTGTAAGGTATTAATATATGATGGTAACGATAAAATTTCTTTAAATTTTCCAAATAAAAAGAAAAATAGTTCGTCTTGTTGAGTTTTTAAAATTTATAAAGAAAAAACCCTTACTTCGAAGATAACTTTGTTTGCCTTTTTGATCAACATTTTTAGTTTGACTTTTGTGTTATATATATTTAAAAGCTTTATTATATTTTATACTAAAATGAAAAATTAAAATGTAAAGAATACAAAAAAAGTCCAAATTTCTTCTTAAACCATCGAAAGTCATATTAATATAAGTAAAACAGATAATGGCCTTAACGCGTTGTGAATAAGTTGGAAACACTTTTTTACGCATATTTTGGCTGACGTAAAATGAAAATTGTAACATACCTATATATATATATATATATATATATATATATATATATATATATATATATATATATATATATATATATATATATATATATATATATATATATATATATATATATATATATATATATATATATATATATATATATATATATATATATATATATATATATATATATATATATATATATATATATATATATATATATATATATATATATATATATATATATATACCCAGCAAACATCAAACAGGCGGACAGATAACGGACCGCTGTCAGAACTTATGCCGTGCCGACGTCGGCCGCATGTTGCGTTGCCGCGTTGGCTTGCACATCGTATTTACATCGGTCCATTAGCGGAAAACTGAAGGCGGTTCGACAGCGGACCTATGGCAGCAAATCGACAACGTTTGAACAACGGTCCGTCAGCGGCTAAACGATGATAAAGCCATAGCGGAATAACATAGGATCTATAATAAAGTTTTGACTAAGATTTGAATGCATTGATATAAATATAATTATTTTTATTTTTTTGTTTGAATAGAACGCACTTATTGTTAGCAAAAATCTTTATATCTTTCGGCTCAAATTTTTAATCATAAAAAAATGCAAATCCTGCCAATGCCTGGAAGACACATCAAATATCTTTTGACTTTGTGCATAGGTATATAGACAAAATACGAATTTATTATACTAAAATTCTCCTACCACCGAAAAACACTACCCCAACTGTAAACTATTAGGTCATACGTGGCAAGGCTTAAGCTTGGTGAACAAAAAGACTAATCAGAAGTTATAATAAAAATCATTTTAAGATTGCAATTTACAATTACAACATGAATATAAAAGTAACAATAATTTTTTTTTAAACTGAAACAAAATATAAAGTATATTTGCATCTATAGATTATTGCTTCACTTACGTTAAGCGAACGTTTAAAATATAAAAAAGTTAATTTTTAACATACCTATAAGTTCAGTTTATTCTCATTTCAATCGAAAACTAAATATATTCAGGAAACCATGTGTTGAAAATTGATTTACGTTGCAGTCTGCAGACTTCTAACTTTCACCTAAAAACAGGCAATGATATATAATGAAAATATTGAAACAGTTCAGTTTAGAGCTATTACAACAAAGATAATAAACTAACCTTCTCAGCCCTTAAAAACGTATTCGTTTGAAATAGTCTGATCACCAGTTATTGACAAATAACTTCAGATACTAAGTGCATCTACATTGAATAAATATAAATTTTATTTTATTATTTAAGCATAATTTAAAACATAAAAAACAACCAAAACATTGTTTAAATTGAAAAGCTATGGAAATAACTTTAAAAAAAAGCTATACAAAAATAAAGTCATATTGCGTGCCTTTTTTAAAAAATAAAACTTCATATACAGTAACCTACCTTATTATACCTAATCCTATAAATATGCTTGAGGGGTTTATGAACAATTAAAAAAATTGTTATTTCATTAAAAAAAGTATCTTTAATTTTAATTTTAATTTAACAAATAAAATAGTATTTAAAAATGAGATATGCCAGGTTGGAAGTAAAACCGTAAAACCCACAGCAACTTAAGGGCGATGGTGAACCTTTTGCAAAGCATAAGCCTAAGACACAAGTGCACATCTGAAAAAGAATGAATCAGAGGCAAAACACATCAATAAAAATATATTTTGATAAACTAAAATATAGTTTGTAAATTGAACATAGTTTTCAACATACAAAAAAAAAACATAGCGCAATATAATATACTATAAAAATTCCTTGAAAAATATAAAAAATCAAATAATTAATTGAAATAAAACGGTTTAGTAAATAAGTATATAATTTTTTTTAATAAATTATTTGTAAGCATTAAAAAGCAAATAAATATGTTTAAAGAAAATATGATTTAAATTAAGTTTGCAAATCAAACATCTATCTTATACCCATGGCAATATTTGGATCATGGTCAACATAATTCTATGAAATATAACTCTGGTTGAGGTAAACGGTTTCCTGTAAAGAAATAATATTAAATCATAAATGTAACATTAAATTACAAGCATGTTTGAACGGAATTGTTAAAGCAATCCTTTAAAATAATGGCTTGTAAAATAAAAGTTTTGTTAGATTTTTATTCATCTGCTTCACTGGTTAAATACCAAGTTAGTTTAGCTTTCCATCAATAACTTTATATTTTAAAGCTTATAGTTATATTCAAATTTAATATAATCAAACAAATCAAACAGTAGACAGACTCCAGAACTTATATTTTGGATTTTTTTCAAAAATAACATTAAAATAACATTAAAATAATATCAAAATAATAAAATTAAATAAATATCAAAATAATAAAATTAATCTTACTTTATTCTCTGGTAAGATTCAATATCACGATTTAAATTTTCATCTACAATCTCATATACAAAAGGTTACTATAAAAGGGAATGAATATGAAAAACACAGAAACAGTAATACTCATTGCACAAAAAACTTTACTCTATTGAGTTTAAAAATTAAAATATTTAAAAATATATAAAATAGTTTTCAATAAAATAAAGATAACAAATTTGTAAATAAAGATACTTATTATATTTAACAATGTTATTCATCTTCTGAACTAAAAAATGCCTCTTTATTTAATGGCATTGGAAAACTTGATGTAGACATCACTTTTTTCTTGGCTTGTTTGTTTTCTTTGGTCTTGTCTAACTTTTTTTCCGCCATTGCGGTCTGATGCACCACGCAAAAAACGCACAACCTCATAAATCTGATTCAGTTGCTGAAGTTGTTGCAGGATTTCTTTTTACAGCTTCTAAAAATTAATTTAAGACTTTTATTTAACTATCTAGCAGGAAAACAAAAAATATTTTTTAACTTAATTTTAAAAATATATAGAATTTTTTTTAAATCTATTTATTAACAGATTTTATTTATCTATTTATTAATTTTTTATTTTTATATAGTTAATAAATAAATTTTATTTATTTATCAACTATTTATTAACAAATAGATTAGTAATTACTAAATTAGACACAAGTAATTATTAAATTAGAGTAACAAGCCCCTACAAAAAAAATTACTTTTAAGCAAGTGTAAGTCTTTGTTTTACAAAGTTACTTTTATTGTCATTTATAGTAATACCAGACCAGTTAAGTTTACAGCAGAGGTTATTAGTGAATAACGCAAAAGACATTCTCTGGACAGCCTCCTTTAAAGTCTGGCCTCCTTTACTTGCCCCAGCTATTATCTACAAAAAAAATAGAAAAAGCATCAGTAATATATATACTGAAGAATATTTTTTAAAAAATTAAAAAAAAAAAGATATCAAATTAATGCCATTAATTATTGCATAACATTTATTAATAGGCTTTATTTTATTTATTGTCCTTTATTTCCATTTATAAATGATCTAGCAAATAAAAGCTGATATAGCAAACTTATATACTTTACCATTAATACTAATACTAGATTCAAATAAAGCAATACTTTCATTAACAAACATTTTTAGAAATTCATTACGGTCTTTTGGTTTAGACCTACTATAAAAAAGACCGATTAAAAATGGGATTTTATTGTGTTGAATATTGTTTACCCACATTTTTTAAACCTAATATTGGTCAAAATTGTCCAATGCTGCTTTTAAACAATGGTAAATCATCAATGTTGACTTGAATTGGTATACAATCCTTTTTCTTTAAAAAAATTAAATTATTACTTAAAATACCTTGTCTAATGCCAATATTTAATATCAATAGATTACTGTCAGAGTTCACTTTACAATCAATATTATTTGCACCTGAGGGAATAGCACTCTCAGTTGAAAGTTTTCGATCTGATATACTTTTTAAATACAATGATTGTACTTCTTCTGGTGAATGTGAAATATTGCTTGATTTAATGGTAAGATCTTTTAGGCAATATTCAACATCAGCTATTATCTTTCATCGTTTTGTCCAAAAGCTCACTATTGAAACTTACATAAATTGTTTTATTTACTAAAGCTGGTACATATTTAAAAATGTATATATTATATGCAGATGTATATATTATAAGGCCTCCTAAGCAAAGACTTTAGGGGTAAGCAAAAAAATTCTGCTAACCAGCCTCGAACCCCTTCTTCATCTATTAGGCTGGCGTAGATGTAACCTGTGTTACATTGTTTCCTGCCTAGGATGATGAATGCTGGATCTCCTTGACTCTACTCATATAATTTTGCTTATGCCTCCTTGATAATGGCTATGCAACTCTTCCTGTTATCTCCATATGAGGGTACAGCTCTAAAACTCAGTTTAATGGTTCTGAGGCCGGCTGGTAGTAAGGTTTCCCAAACTCTGTGGTAGCTCTCAGAGAGGCTGATTCCATCAACAGCTGCAAAATATCAGAGTATTAACAGTGCCATGTTGCGCATGGATGGTGTCCCTGTTAATGTTTTTGGTGTGCATTGTCAAAGCCACATAAGGAGCCCTATGTCACGGCTTAGGGTTAATTAACAGGACTGAGACAACTGCATAGCTCATTGATTAGGAGGCTGTGCTCTATCTATGAATGAGTCAAGTTCTCATTAAACCCAAATCATGACCAAAGTAACCAAAAATTTAAAACCTAAAAAACCATCCCTACCACCTAAATATTTTAATATATCTTTTACAAATATTCGCGGTCTACGAAGCAACTTTCCATCAGTTGAGTCTTACCTCTTGCAAAATTCACCAGATTTGCTTGCACTTAGTGAAACAAATTTAAGTTCTGCAATTCCTTCTTCAGATGTCAGTGTTGATGGGTACTACCCTTTGATTCGTAAAGACTCAAATAGTCACATGCTAGGTTTAGGGGTATGCATACGCATTAATTCCTCTATTTGTCGTGAAATCAGGTTCGAATCCTTTGACCATTCTTTTATGTGCTTTCGTCTAGCACCTCTTCACTCTATCATCTTTCTCTTTGTTCTTTATCGTTCTTCTTCTTCCCATGATTGCACTCTCTTAGATGTTATCTCTGATCAAATTGACCATACCCTCTCTCTTTACCCCTCTGCCAATATTGTTGTTGTTGGTGATTTTAATGCCCATCACACTGAATGGCATGGCTCTAACACCACTGATCCTGCTGGCACTAAAGCCTTTAACTTCTGCGTTTCTCAATCTCTTACTCAGATAGTTAACTTTGTGACTCGTTTTCCTGACAACCCTAATCATTTACCTTCACTACTTGACTTATGTCTTGTCTCTGACCCTAGCTTATGTTCAGTTTCCCCCTTTTCTCCCTTAGGTGGTTCTGATCATGCAATGATCTCTACAAATCTTTCTTCTTGTACTTCTTTTTTGGGCTCACCTTATCATCGCACCACCTACTACTACCCTAAAGCTGACTGGGATTCCTTTCGTGATTTTCTTCGTGATGGTCCTTGGGCTGATGTTTTTTCTTTCTCAGCTGACAAATGCGCCTCCTACGTAACCTCCTGGATTCAGGCTGGAATGGAAGCTTTTATTCCTTCGCGTTGGTTTCAAGTCAATCCTCATTCTACTCCATGGTTTTCTCCTTCTTGTGCGGCTGCTATATCCAATCGTAATCATTTTTTTCATCTTTTTCAAAAGAACAACTCTCTTGAGAACAAACGGCTATTTATTATTGCAAGAAATCGATGTAAAAAGGTGCTTTCTGATGCTAAACTCCATTATTCTTAGTTCACTAAATCTCGCAAGGGTAGATCTAACATTCCATCTCTCATTCATGGGACTGATCTTATTACCTCTCCCAAGAATAAGGCAGAACTATTTGCAAAGAACTTTTCTTCTAATTCCACTCTTGAATCTTATGGACATTCTCTTCCTTCCATTCCAGTCAAACAGGTTGACCCATTGTTAGACATTCAAATCACTCCGGCTTCTGTTGCAAAAGTCATATCTCAATTAAACTCGCCTACAGCTTGTGCTCCAGACAACATTCCTGTCACAGTCTTGCAGAATTGTTCTCCAGAACTTTCTTCAATTCTCTCTAAACTATTTAACAAGTGTTTGACTGAGTGTTGTTTTCCTGCTTGTTGGAAAATGGCATCTGTGGTTCCAATATTCAAAAACTCTGGAGAAAATTCTGACCCCTCCAATTATCGTCCAATCAGTCTTCTTTCTGTTATTAGCAAGGTCTTTGAGTCTTTGATCAACAAATTCCTCACATCTCATCTTGAGTCAAATAAACTACTGTCAGACAATCAATACAGTTTTCGATCCTCTCGCTCTACGGCCGACTTGCTAACTGCTGTAACTGAAAGATTTTATCGTGCATTAAATGGAGGCGGTGAGGCTAGGGCTATTGCTCTCGACATATCTAAAGCTTTCGACAAAGTTTGGCATGCTGGTCTTCTCCATAAGCTTGCTTCATATGGTGTTTCTGGGAAAGTTTTTGAGATTATCAAATCATTTCTTTCTAACCGGTTTATTAAAGTCATCTTTGAAGGCCTGAGTCCTCCTCTTTACGTCTTCTTGGATTATCGCTTACTACTGACCTTTCATGGAAACCATATATACAATTGATTGCTAAATTAGCTTCTGCTAAGGTTGCTTCTCTTTATCGTGCTCGCCATTTCCTTACTTCTGATTCCATTCTCTACCTCTACAAATCTCTTATTCGTCCCTGTATGGAATATTGTTGTCATATTTGGGCTAGTTCTTCTAACGATTCACTTTCTCTTCTTGACAAGGTCTAAAATCGCATTGTAAATGTTGTTGGACCTGAACTATCTGCTAAGCTTGAACCTCTTTCCCATCGTCGTAAACTTGCATCTCTTTCTCTTTTCTACAATTACTATCATGGTCACTGCTCAAAGGAGTTATCATCTCTAGTTCCATCAACTAAAATTCATTCTCATTTTACTCGTCATTCAGCTAAGTCTTATCCGTTTACTGTATCTGTCCCTGCATGCTCTAAAAACTTTTATATATCTACTTTTTTTCCCCGCACTTCAATCCTTTGGAACTCTCTTCCATCTTCATGTTTTCCTGACTCATACAACCTTCAACTTTTCAAGTCTTCTGTCAATCGTTTCCTTGCTCTATAACTATGTTCTTTTTTTTCCTAGTAATTCCCAACTTAATAGTGGTTGCTTGCAGCCTTGTTGGGAGTGAATGCAAATAAAAAAAATAAAAAAATAAAAAAATGTGTGTGTGTGTATATATATATATATATATATATATACATACATATATATATATATATATATATATATATATATATATATATATATATATATATATATACATATATATATATATATATATATATATATATATATATATATATGTATATATATATATATATATATATATATATATATATACATATATATATATACATATATATATATATATATATATATATATATATATATATATATATATATATATATATATATATATATATATATATATATATATATATATATATATAACTTCATATTAGTATAACATTGTTTTTGTTATATTAAAAGTTATACGACTAGTCATTTAACTTTTAATATAAAAAGAACAATGTTATACTAATATAGTTATAAAATTGTTACATAATTGTAACAATATTGTTAAAGTTATATATGTTTAAAATAAAATCAAATTAGAATTTTTAATTTTGAGTCTTTTTTGAGTCACAAAGAGCAAGTAGGTCTGGTGAACTTTGCAAGAGATAAGAATCAACAGAAGAAAAGTTACTTTGAAGACCACAAATATTAGTGATTGATAGATTTAGAGAACTTGGTGATGATGTTTCATTTCTTTCTAACCGTTTCATTAAAATCATTCTTGAAGGCCATCACTCTTCTTCTTTTCCAGTAACTTTTGGGGAACCTCAAGGTTCTATTCTTGGTCAATTTTTGTTTTTTAGCTACGTTAATGATCTTCTTGACAACCTTACATCTAAAGTGGCTCTTTTTATTATTTTTGTTTATTTTGAAATTTGTATCCAATCTTATATTATTTGGTGAGTAAAATAATTAAAAAAATGTATCAGTATTTACCAATAATAATTTAATGTCGTTTCATTTCATTGGGAAACACTTTGATAAAAAAAACTGATTAAAAAAAACTGATTATAAAAACGCTGATTATAAAAACGCTGATAAAAAACAGTGCTAATATTCTGAATTAATATTTCCTGGTTTGAAAATTTTCTATAAGAAAGTTGTCACATGTAATGTACAGTTTTCTCAAAACAATTTTCTACAGAGTTCGTTATTCACCACAAAAATGAAAAAAATAGTTTAATAAAAAAAACTTTTTTCAACAAAAAACAGTTAAAGCCAATAGAAATACATCCAATACCACTTTTGTGCTACTGTTTTGGTTTGAATTTTTTCAATAAACCTTTGCGTATTTAATTAAGCTTGTTTTTTTTTAACATCTTTTTTTTTAGTACTTTTAAGTCTTGGTTTGTTTATTTAAAAGTTTTTAATTTCTTTCTACTTTTTTCCAAAACTAGACACCAGTTTCTATATTTGCATATTGTACTAATATAAACAATTTATCTATACGCATATTATACTAAGTCTATTCTTTTTATATTACAAAAATCTGTATATCAAAAGTTTTTAGATCCAATTTTTCCAACCATGTTTTATATAAAGATAATGTTAAAAAAAAAAAGTGCTATGCTTAACATGCCTAGAATAGAAAGGATTTCTTTTCTGGAAATTATTTTCTCTTGCTTTTAAATAATTATTAAAATTTTATTAAAATTAGTTTTAATTATTTTTATTTTATTATTTGTTCAAAAAAACTTAACTTTATAATCATGTCTAACAAAGCTTGTATCTTTGTTAGAAGTGAATTAATTTTTTTTTTTTTTTTTTTTTTTAATTTTTGTTATTTAGGTTCTGCTGCTTTAAAAACTTCTAACCTTAGTAGGTTTGTTTATATTTTATATTCTAAAGCTTTTTAATGTTTTGTTTTTTTTTAATTGTTATAACTGCTAGTATATTATTTTTTAATATTTAATTTTTTATTTAAGTTTATATTATATTAAAAATTATTGTTTGTAACTTCTAGATTGTTTAGTTTTTTGATGTCAAATATTTTCATTATAATTTTATAAAATATTTCTCTTTTTTTTATAAAATATTTTAAAGGTTGTGCTACTTCAGGACTTAAAAAATTTTTTTTATTCAGTTTCTATAGACTTATATTATGACATGTAAAACTTATCTGTTATAAATTTAATTCTTTTGTTAAACGATGTTGAACTAAGGTTGAAAAGACATTTAAGAGTAAATTATAATAAGCTAATATTAAAATTTATCTTGAATGTTTATTCTTAGCTACGATTCTCGTTTCTGTGGTGGTTGTCTTGATTATAATTGTTATTGTTGTCGTTGTTGTTGTTGTTGCAAAAAATCGTAGAAGAAAAGAAATATGGAAGCATACAGATGCTTACACTTATGAGTAATTTTTTTTTCAATTTATTTTTAAATTGATTAAAAAAAATTTTTTTTTTTTTTTAAGTTTGTTCTTGCGGTCCACAATCCACATCTACATCTAATTCAGCTATACAAATCACCATACATTAAATCATTAAGAGCTAATAATATATTAAATTACTTAAATATATATGTTTTTTTTTATATTTTAAACAAATTTTCTTATAACAAGACTGCAAGCAACCACTATTTAAATTGAGAGTTACCTGAAAGCATTGTAGAAGAGCAAGAAAATAGTTGTTTTCTTGTTTCAAGTCAGGAAAGTATGAATATGGGAGAGAATTTCAAAATATTGATATTTGAAGAAAAAAAAGTAGATAAAAGCTTTTTGAGCATGAAAAGACAGTTAAGATAGACAGTGTAAAATTGTGAAACTTTGCTATATAATGAGTCACGGGAGATCTGGTCAATTTGTTTGAGTTTTGCTTGTTGGAACAAGACTTGTGTTTTAAAAAAGGCATTAACAGTACCAGCCTCAAGGCATTAGAAATACAAACCTCAATATGATAACAATATGATAAAGAGAATGAAATCAAGAGTGAGCAATAGCAAGCATGTTAAGAAAAAACCTTAGCAGAAACATTTACACACAGTGGTTTGTGGAAATGAAAAAGAGTTTTGTCTATCAAAGGCTGCCTTAACAGAGCAAATATTGAATGAAATTATTCTATAAGTTTTCAGATTTTAATTTATTGTAAGTAATGATTATGGAGAAATTATGGAGAAGAACAGTGTTCCAAAATTTTTGCAAAGCTTTAGTATGATAAAGCATTAGCTGCTAATGACCGACATAAATCAGCAGTTAAATGAGATGATAAAAATCAATTATTGATTATCATCGACTCAAGACAAGATGTTAAAAGTTTGTTAATTAAAGATCTTACAAGTAATAAAAAAACTGATTAGATGATAGTTAAGGGAACAGATGGATTACAGGAGTTTTAATAAATTTGAAACACTGTTGCTCCTATTCAGCAGACAGTAAAGCAGGATTTAGTTGTTGAATAATTTTATAAAAGTATTTAAAAAAATTTTTAGAAGTCTTTTGTGAATCTGTGATAGAAATATTTTTTTATCTTTTGAGATAAAGGTTTTAGTAATCTGATAATATTTTACCTTATCATCAGGTAATAACTTTTTGCATCAATTTTTATGATAAAAATTATTTTAAAAAAGATAAAAAAGAAAAGAATATAAACAGAAATAGTAGCTGTGATTGCTGCTTCGAATGCATTTTTTATTGTTCAAATAACTTTTTTTTTATCTAAGTACTGTACAATTGTTACTTGAGTAAAACTTGTATACAAGATTGCAGAAAACTTTGAATAGATTATGTACTATGGATAGAGTGATGTTTGAATTTAAATTAACAAAAACAAAAAAAAAGTTTTATGCCTGCCTGGATCAAATTGATTATTTAAGAGGTGCAGTTTTTAATTAAAATTACAAAACCATCACAAAAAAAATAAAAAAGGATTTCCAATCAGCATCAAGGTAGCAGTAAGGCGTGCATTGATAAAGTGAATTTGATGTCGCAGAAGTACAAATTTAAAGTTCTGTGAGATTGTTGCATTATCTGAAGCACCTAAAAAAGATCACCGTAAAACTGACCTTTAGCTAAGGTTACAAATCTTAGTGATGTGACTAGTTAGTTAGTTACAATTAATTGCAATATTGGTTGATGGACAAAAAATAAAAGTTTAAAGTTTTTGCAAATCAAATTTTGCAAAAAAGATTATAACCATACAATAAACACTGATAATCAAAGAAGAAACAACCAAAATTAAAAAAAAAAAAAAGTTAGGTTCAAAATGACCAATTATTTCTGGCAAGCTTTGCAAAGGTAAAAGAAAAGTTACATTAAAAATCAAGAATGTTTGTATAAGATTGGTGCTGATTGGTTCAAAGGATTTGGTGTTAATAATGGTTTTTTATGTTTAAAATTTTCAGGGTATTTCAATTTTTTAGATCTTGACTCAATCATAGATATTGGTTGTGGCTCCAAGCAATAAGCTATGGAATATTAGTTTTGCTAATCAACCCAAAGTTTTAAAAAAGTTGGCTTCTTATGTGGTATTAACAATGCACAATGAAAGCACTAACAACAACAAACTTCTACAGAGTTTAGGAAAACTTACTACCACCTGGCTGCAGAACCAAACTTAAGTTTTAGAGCTGTAAGTTAATTAGATGATACTAGATGATCATTATCCTAGGCAGGAAGAAGTTTCAGTTCTAAATCTAGATTAAATCCAACGTTCATCATCTTATATTCTTAATAAAAATAATAAGTTTTACATGCTAAAAATTAATAATAATAAATAAACTATTTTACCATGTATATCTGAACTTGAATTGTTTTTCTTATTTGTCAAAAAACCAACTAGTAATAAACTATAAAGTATTACAAAAGTTGCATGGCAGTAACATGACTTAATAAAAGCCATAGCAATAAAGTAAAATACGCAATACTAACTTAGATTGCTATTGTAACACTAGAGCTGTACATTCATTACATGATAGCCGATGATCATTGTCTAAGGAAAAAGATCAAGTTCTAAATTTAGATCAAAATCCAACATTCATATTTCTCTGCAGGAAAAAATATATTAACACCAAAGGCAGCTTATTAGATGAAGTATGAGTGATATGCTGATCTACAATATTAATCTAATAATAATAATAACTCTGATAACCAGATTAATAATAAGATAATCTGGTTATCAGGGTGACCTAATGTCTTGATGCTGTTTAAATTTGCCATAAGATAAGTATTTTTATTGAAATAACATTTCAATAATAGTCTCTGATAATATTTTACTACGTGCCAATACTCAAACCCCCAATCCAAATACGTTCATATACTCATACCCAAACTCCTAATCCAGGTATGTTAATCTATTTTTACCTATTAATATTTCATTTCAATATTATTCATGACATTGAATAACATTGTTTTGTTTTTTTTAATAATTTTTCAGTAATTATGCAGATTACTATAAATCAGCACCAGATGAATGGGAAATTTTCCCAGAAAGTTTAGTTTTTGATAAGAAAATTGGAGAAGGTGCTTTTGGAAATGTCTTTACAGCAAAAATCAATGCAAAAAATCTTTCTAAAACAATGTTTGCTAAACAATCTGAATTTGTTTCACATGATGTCAAAAATGATTTAACTGTTGCTGTAAAATTATTAAAAGGTTTCAAATTATTTGTTTCTAGTTTTTATTTTATCTTTTAACGTTTTCATTGTGATATATAACAATGGCATGTGTTATTTTTTTGTTATTTTTAATGGTTTTTAAATTTAAAGTTGATAGAAGAAGTATTTGTAATTTCTTAATTTTTAAAAATTTCTAATAGAAAATTTATTACATAACTTATAATAACTGTTCTTGACATGTAAGTTGTCTAGACCCGTTGTTGTAGAAAACTTATGATGATGCTACTAATTATTGTCACAAGTATAAAGATTCTCATAAAAGTCTTAGCAGACTTAACAAAGATTTCAAATCTCATAATCTGGTCATTTGTTTGTTACTCTTCCTACTTTTTTACCTCAGGTTTTTTTTTTTTTTTTGCAGGACATTGACATGTAGCAAAAGATGTGCATTAAATAAAATACAATTTATTCTACTAATAGTATATTTATATTATTATTTTTTTTTTATAAAGAATCACAAATTTGTTACACATGTTGTTCATAGTAGTTTTGTTACACATGTTGTTGTTCATAGTAGTTTCATAGTAGAGTTTTTTTTATAATTTTCTTTTTCTTTTCATAATTACTCATATAAGTATTTTAAAAAAATTTTAACAGTATATTTGTACATTTTTTTATAATAAATCAAAATTGTAAATAATTAAAAATGCAACAAAATTACAATCTTTGTCACAACAAATCTCGAATTTAACACAAAATAAATCATTTTAGAAAACAGATTACATAAAATAAATATTAAAAAAAAAAAAAATGTTTATTGAGTTATTGAGTTATGATTCGAGTGTTGTTTAAACACTATATTCTTATATCATAAATAAGTTCATATTTTTTCTAATTACAATGATAAAGCTATATAAGGTATTTTTTTTACAGATGTTTTATTGTTTAATAACTTTTATAGATGGTGCAAATCATTCAGAATTTGAAGACTTTCGTGAAGAAATTGATCTAATGAAAAAAATTGGATATCATAAATGCATTGTCAACATGATTGGTTGTTCTAGAGTCAAAAGACCATTGTGTTTAGTTCTTGAGTACATGGAAAACGGAGATTTGTTGCATTTCTTAAAAAGCAGACGCACAAAAGTAAAGTATTGTTTGTTTAATTTATAATAGATTTGATTCAAGATTTGTTTATAAAATAACCAAATAGAAAAATTATTTTTTACTTACTCTTTATAAATCTTCGTCATAATAAATTTACCAATAAAAATTTAGAAATAAGAATACACATAAACATCACATTTTGAAAATATAGTAAATATATATTTGTATATGACATTCAGTGTTTCCTTATTATGCATAGATTTTTTAAACTTTAATTAATTTTGAGCTGCGTTCATATTTTCTCTCTTTATTTTAAAAATTTTTTTGAAATTAAATTACTATGAATGATACAATAAGTAGTGAAACTATTTGAAAAATAGTTTCAATATTGGTTGTATCAATCTTTTTACTTACTTAAAATCAAAATTTACATTTTTAATGTCCAAAAATTAAATAGTATTTTTTTTTTTAAATCTTCTGTTTAATGAATTTTAAAATTGTAAAAGTAGCTATTTAAATAACATGACATGAATAAATAAAACCAAATAATTAGTTTATTTTATATGTATATTATATATATATATATATATATATATATATATATATATATATATATATATATATATATATATATATATACAGGGCTTGTGACGAATAAAATCGTCAAGCGTGTTATATCGCGCTCGTAAAACTAAAATATTTTTTCATCGAGCGTAATTATGTGCGCTCGAGATAATGTCGACAAGCGCGATCATGAAAACTGCTGAAGAAGATCTTTTTTTATTTGTTACATTATTCTTTCGTCGACAAATATTATAATTAGTATCACACTTATGAATTAACACTCTTGTATATTGTCAGATCGAGATTTTTTTTTAACTATTTATGTTATAAAAAAAAATATATCAAACAAAAATGCAACTCCTTGTTGATTTAGTATTGAAGTATAATCTAGTGACTTTTTTATAATTTAGTGCCTTTCTTTGTTTCGTTGTTTTGAATTATGTATTTAAAAATAGTTTTTATATTTCTTGATATTTTTTATTCGAATTAATTTATTTCTAAAATTTCTTTTTTAAATTACAATTTTTTTATCTTAAAAAAATAACACAAGAAAGTTTGAAAATCTTTATTTTTTTTAACTATTCATTATAGGTTAAATAACAGATTTTCCCCTCAACTGTTGTCAACGGTGTTTCCTCTTCTACATTTTCGAAACTGAATGCAGCTAATTCGTCACTTATATCTGGTAACTTCAGTTCTAAAGCCTATTACCTCTTGAACTTTCCATTTAATAAATGTTGACAACATTACTTTATTTCCTTTTGGAATGTCATTGATTGCGGACATTCTAAACAACAGAATCGTTTTAAATTTGAGTTAAAATAAATAATAGTTAATAAAAAACTTATACTATAAACAAAAACTAATTTAAAAAATTACTGAATCATTATTATTTATTTTTATAATAAACAATGTATGGAATATTACAAACAATAAATCAAATAAATCTTACTTGATGTTTTCACAAGATTAAAAATATTCTGCAGGTTCAATTTTCTTATAATGGTTTACTAATTTTTTATTATTTTATTTGTGCATTTTTGTATTTGCATTGAATTTCTACATGCAAATTCCATCAATGAAATTAGTGCCTATTAACGACTTCAAACTGCTCATTTATTAGGTTAGTGCAAAAAAGAACGACGTAGTGCTTTTTTTATTTTATATTATATTAGTGCTTCGATAATATAAAATCTTTATTAAAAAATCTTTTTTTCATATTTTAAGAAAATAAAAAAAAAGTTATTATTTGTTTTGCCCCGAACTCTTGGACGAGCATTATTTTATACGCTCGTTATAAGCTGAACGAGCGTTGTTTATCGCGCCTGGAACGTTTCAAAATACCATTTACGGGCGCGTTTCACAAGCGGAGGGCGATCGCGCTCGATTCATCACAAGCCCTGTATATATATATATATATATATATATATATATATATATATATATATATATATATATATATATATATATATATATATATATATATAATATATATATACATACATATATATATATATATATATATTCATTCAGCAGTTTAGCAAACATTTCTGCTAGACTATAACAGTTATGTTGTCTAGACCACAAGCTGTAGAAGAGTCTAAGCAGGAAATCACTATAGATACAAAAGCTGGAGTGATACGAATGTCAAGCAATGATTCAACCTGTTTTTCAGCTATATCAGGTTTGTGAAATCAAGAGATGAGGTGGATGAAAAGTTTTTAGCAAACAATTCAGTTTTGTCTTTAGGCAGCAGCACAATAAGAAGTAAACCATGGAGAAGAGTGAGGCTTGACTTAGAATTGTTGAGAGGGAATAAAAGTTTCCATGTCAGCCTGAATCCAAGACACTACATAACTAACACATTTGTCAGCAGAAAGATGAAAGATTTCTACCCAAGGGCTATCACAAAAATCACGTAAAGAGTCCCAATCAGCTTTAAGGAAGTTGTAAGAAGAATGAGATAATAGTTTTAGAGAGATCAAACCGTGATCAGAAGCACCTAACGGTGTATGTGGAGATACTGAGGACTGACTAGGATCAGAAACAAGATATAATTCAAGGGTAGGAGGTAAATGGTTCGAATTGTCTGGAAAGTGAGTTGGAAAGTTGACTATTTATGTTAGAGATTGAGAAAAGCAAAAATTGTGGCCTTAATGTCTACAGAGTCACTGACACTAGATCCAAGTTATTTAGTGTGATGAGCAATAAAATCACCAACAACAACGATATTAGCTGAAGGATAAAGAGAAAGAGTTTGGTCAATTTGATCAGAAATAACATCAAAAAAAGTGAAGTCTTTAGATGAAGGCGAGCAATATAGAACAGAGAGAGAAGCAAAAGAGAAAGGTGATAGAGTGAAGTGATGCTAAACGAAAGTACCAAAAACAATAATCTGTTCATGGCAAAGTTTAAATATTTATATCTTTGTAACCGTTTAGAATCTGATGATAAAATTTTGAAGATGTTCATAACTTATTAAAATCTTTAAGTGTTCTAAAAATCAGCAAAATCTGAGACTAAGGGTTGCATGCCCTGGATGTTTTCACATGGAATCACCCAAAAACATTTGGATGAAGTAAATATTGACATATCATTCTTTGTATAAAAGCAACAGAAAAGTTTTTACTGTTTCAGAAGCAAAAGAGAAAGGTGATAGAGTGAAGCTGTAGGAAAGAAGTTTAAGAACTTGAAGACTAGAAAAAAAAAATTTAACAAGCTATTTAAACTCTTCAACTTCAAAATTAAAAAAAAAGAAAACTACAAATAAATATCTGCAGGTGAAATATTGCTTAAAAAACCATAAAAGGATCCATCCAGATTTTTCGATGTAATTTGGAAACTCGTTTGTTTCAATGAGCTGCAGCTGATCCTCCTCATAAAACTGAATTATTGCAATGCCTAAAAGTTTTAAATGATCTGACTCTAATGCTCAATGAAAAAGGTTTTACTATTGAAAGAACTGATGTGTACAGATGACTGATACCACATTGTTGCAATACAAATGAAGGCAAAAAACATATAAAAATGATTCTGGAGAAACTTGTCAAAACACAATTCAATGCATTGAAAAAAAATGAAGATGCCCAGTTCAGTTTGGTCCCTATTAGGCTTGTTACAGAACTATGCACACTTATTAGTCCACATAACATGATTTTTTTTTTGCCTAAAATTGTTGCACCAAATAATCATGATAAGTACAGAATATTGAGTAAAATTGATAACGATTAGTTGGTAGCCAAGAAACATAAATTAAAACCTTCAGTTTACGCTTTCTTAATTGTAAATGATGACATTGTTAGTAACATCGCTACTGGGATGTTAAACACTGAACCAAAATATATATTGCAATCCATTCAGGAAAGCATAGTTCATCAAAGGCCTACAATTATGGCACAGACATACACCACATAGTTGTTGGTGAACAGTTTTCAAACTTTGCTAAAACACCATTAAGAAATAGAATTATTAAACCATTATGGGTTTCAGTCAGATTAAGAACCAAATTAGAATGCATGGTTTACAAAAATTATTTAATAGCCTTTCTAGTATTGGCTATTCCAATATAAGAAGCTCATTTTTCCTCAAGATATTCATCTGAATGTTACTAATCAAATCAAAATTCAAACAATCATACCCATTTGATCTTTATTGCCCGTCAGTCTCTGTTGTGGATTTAAAAAAACGACGATATCAAATTTGTTACATTTTCCATCTGTTGTGCTAAGACTAATCATTATTGCATTGTCATAGACAATGAATATAACAGTAGTTATTATTGAAGCAGGAAACTGCTGTTTGAAGCGTATGAACCCTTTTTTTTTGTTTTACCTTTAGAACAGCCTGGTAATTTTCCATGTTTCTGATTTTAATGAACCAGTTAGTTAAGATAAATAAATGTATTGATTAATTAAAATTTATTTGATAAAAGTAGTTTTTACATATGTTTGAATAATGGCAATTTAATAGGCTATTCAATAGTCACACTGCAGAAATACACTTATAGTTGTTAATAATTGTAATAATAATTCAATAATACTGTTAAAAATCTTTCAATAGCTTGTATTTTGCTTCAAGCCATTCAATGGGTTATATTTTTTATTTAAATTTTCATTTGTTGCAGATTCATTTCAGAAAGCCGCCATGCGTTTTCAACAACAAGTTTGTATCTAGTCAAGGAAAATCACAAGGCAGTTTTCTAAAATAAATTTTTGAGTTAGTCTTATTTTGTTCTCATATTTGAGTATAGATGGTGCCACATTTTCTACCTATCCATTCCTGCGTTCCTGTAAACTTTTTTCTGTTTGTTGTGAGCGATTAAGTAATTACAGTTCAGGGCTCGAATTAACGCAAAAAAATCTAATCGCGAAAAAAACAAAAGTTTTCAATAACACCCGACCCCCAACCCCACACCCCCTTATACCTTGCGCTTCTTTGCGGTAATGGGGGGGGGGAGAGTTGCATTAGTATATAAT